TCATCAAACTCCACCCAAGAAAGTGAATAAGCATATTTGCCAAAATGACAGACTGTTCCTTTAAAGTAAGGTCTGTAGGGCCCTGATACACCAAGCCGGTCAATCAGTGTCAGGTAGTTGGTGAGCATCTGTCGCTCTAGTTTTTGTTGTGTGTCCCGCACTGCTGGGCACTAGTCGGACCTTGTCAGCTTTATTCGACCAGTTTAGTGGCGTTTGGGAAGGCAGAGCCTGTCAGTGACAGATATCACTCTGATTGGCAGTTCAGCTCAGTTCACAAGAAGAAAAACCGAAGTGAGGAAAGTAAACAAATAACTAAAGTCAAGAGGGCGTGAGACTGAAACAAACTTATTCTATTAGGTAAGATTATTTTTAGCCATTGAGCTCTTTAGCAGAAAGAGTTAGTAACTGTTTGTGTTATTGTTAGTGTCACCGTAAACATCATTTGTTCTTTCAAAATGGGATTGTGTTGTTAATGTGCTAACTGGCTAACTAGCGTCTTAAATACGATCTGTTAGTCTAATGGTTTCCTTCTTTTAGTGACGTAAACATACTACTGCCACCTGCTGCTATGGAGTGTGTCCTCTAACACAGCCGCAGAATGTACGTGCTGGTTGGTGGCTGGCTGTAGTCTTCACAGTGTGGTCAGGCAACATGAGGCAATGCAACACTCAGGCTTCATCACCGCAAGTTCTTTGATGTTGGTTTGGTGTGTCTGGGCCCTCAGGGATCAACATGATGCAGTTATCAGTAGTGTTAACAGGCCCATCAGTTACTCATTTTTCATGGATGACTTGCAGTTTAGTAAGCCGGCAGCTCCACAGATGCTGTCTGTATGTTGTTGTGTTCTCAGTTAAACAAGTTTTCTGTCACAACAATTCCATGAATCGAGACCAAACCAAAGATAAGCCAAATCTGGTGATGTGTGGGTGAATGTGAGCAAGTGTGACCCCCATTCTTACAATCATTTCATCTCTCCCCTCTAAAACAACTCCTGATTTCTCCCCCGTTTTCCCTTTTTTTTTCTTGCATCTCAACAGCCATCAAAGGCTTCTCGCCCCAGCACAAGATCACCAGCTTCGAGGAGGCGAAGGGGCTGGATCGCATCAACGAGAGGATGCCGCCGCGGCGAGACGCCTTGCCCTCGGACGCCAGCCTCAACTCCCTCAACAAGGCCCTGTCCTCAGAGACCAACGGCACAGACGCCAAAGGAAGCACCAGCAGTGGCAGCAACATCCAGTGAAGGCCAGCAGCAGGCGCCACCTTGGCCGACGGGGCTGCCCTGCCCCCAGCCTCATCACGGCCCGCCACCGCAGAAAAGGGGCAAAGGGTGAAAGAGTGGAGAGGAGGGGGAGTGTTGGAGAGTGGAGAGTGGAGGGGGGAGGCATCTATGGCTCACACTGGGGGGACATCTCACTTTCTAGTCTTTGGATATGCCTTCAAAATATTAGTTCATAGTCAAATCTGCTAAGTTATTGCCGGGTCACATTTCTGAATGGTCAGGCCTTTATCGCGCTTGACTCCCCACCACACCGCAGTATGTCAGAGAGAAAGAGAGCGATAGAGAGATCTTAAAGGTGATTTATCTTTTCTTTTATTTCTTGAAAGACCCTTGCTCATTTACACCGAAACGGAAAGTCGTGTAACTTCTTACTAACTATTGTACGTTTACAAAAATACAGCACTAAAAAGGACAGAACATGAGATAATGTTTTTAACGTATAAGGGTGTACAAACTAAATAAGGACTATTTATTGATAACTTTTTGTTTTGCTACTCTTATAAAATAGCTCTGAAATTAATTAGGCAGTCTTAAAAAGAATGTTGCAATGTTGTCGAAATGCCAAATAATGGAACGTTTTATGGTTTTGTACATATTATGCTTACCTCAGGTTCTTTTGGTGTGTGCTTTGACCTGATTTTTCTGTATAATGGCTAAATAACTCGGTAATGAATACCTATTTTCTTGAGTTTCATAACTGGAATTTACATTTACCTATCTATCATTTGCAAATATGTTTATTTTTTGTCTCTTTTGGAAGGGGTGGGGGGGTAGATTTATCGTGGCTTGCTGGAATTGAGTGTTAATTTTTTCTCTTTTTAAGTATTGCGAACAAAGTAAAAATAGAGAAACCTATATTGTGTAAAAAAAAAAAAAAAAGAATACAATAAAGTGTCTGCCTATGCATGTTTTATAAAAATCAAACAAAGGAAATAGAAAATCTGAATACCTTGGCTGTGGAGGCCTGTTTTGAAATATATTGCGCTTTAGTGAACATATACTGGAAACGTATACCTGCATACTTTCAATTAACACCATGATGCTCTATGCCTTCAACTTCTTTTTGTAATTGAAGCATTTAATTATCTAAGATGGATGAGAAATCATATTTTTAACCTGCGCTTGTAAGTGCACACAGTCCAATTATTAAGCATGTTTGACAATTCTTGTGAGGTGTGTGGTTACACGTGTAACTCAAAAATGCATGATTAGCTGTTTGTGTCATATAACAGGTAAAATCGGTTTTGTTCTGTTTTGTAAATGTGCCACAGAAAAGTGTAATTTGATTATTATTACTATTATTATTTGGAACTCTGCTTTGTATATCAGTTACAGGTTTGATACTGCTCAATACTTTAAGATGAAACGGAAAAAAAAAAATACTTCGATCTTTTTTAAGAACTGCTTAAGTGCCCAAGTAATTCACTACACGACATGAAGCCTTGCTTTTGTAATTTAACTTCAAAACTGTTGGCAGATGAGGCATGCACTTGCAACTATGAAAAGTATTTTATATAACTGTTCAATAAAAATGTGCATGAATTTCAACTTGAAATGAAGCCGCTTCTCCTGTATGTGTGTGTGTGCGTGCGTGACTCAGGCTGTCCTACAGTCCTCCGCTACATGAATATGCAACCATGTAAAATAAAATCGACTACATAATACACAAAAGTCCTTCGGGCATTTTTTTTTTGTATCACGAGTTTATAAAGCTGTTAATAGAGTTACGTGATGGTTTGTGTTTTCCAACAAGATTACAGGAAATGCACTCGCCATTAGGCATAAGTCAAACCTGTGAGAAAACCAGGCACTAACAATAGAGTCACAATCTGAAAGTCACACCTCAGAGGTCGACAGGGGGACACATGCGTGAAAAGAGAGCTTTAAAATCCCTCCACATGCTCTATTCTATATGGAGCTGTCATCCTTAACACTGCTGCGAGTTCAGTCTCTGTATCGAGTCTTGTTTTGCTCCACTTTGTCCAGTTCCTCTCAAGAATTTGGCATTGACTTGTCAGTATGTCGATGGGAAATTGCTCCTTGGCAGTTAGGCAACAAAGGTGTTTCCTTTTCATCAACCTCAGTGACTTCTTTGATTAAACTACAGAGACTAAGCCAAGATTGTGCAAACATACCTGTGTACACAGACCAAGATCTGCCGCCTTCCTCCTTAATATGAGGATAAAATGTTGTATTTTTATGCGCAATATGTTTTTAGATTTGATTTTATGGGTGTAAACCTTTGAAATCTGGAGGGACATCACTTTTCTTGTGCTGCTTTCAGACACCTTTCACAAGTATTTAAACCTTTCAATCTTGCATAAATTGGTGCAATTTCTTTCTTAATTATAATTATTATTACATTTTAAAATGATGTTACAGAATTTTTAAGCACTCTTTCAGGTCATTTCCTTTTTATATCAGTTTTCTTGTTTTTAATTTTCTCTTTTTACTAATTACTTGCAACTTTTTTGGGTCGTTTCTTCTTTGGTTGCTCATTGCCTTCTGCCCATGTTTCTAAATGAAATCAAGCCAATTTGCTCAGGTTTCAAATGGCTAAAAATGTATTTCAGGGCAGCTCTTTCTCCAAGAAATGTTAGAAATTAAACCTCCAGTTGTCAAGCACATGAGTGGACAATCTATGCAGCTATCAGCAAACTCAAACCTTGCCTAGTGGTCCACATAAATAAAATACTCCGACATTAACTTCGCTAAGCAGCCTGCATTTTCTTGCCCTTGGCCTCTGAAGTGTCTCTTTTTGGTCTCTTCAGCTGAAATCAAACACAATGCTCAAATGAAAGGAAGTAAACTCTGGCATCCTGTTTTTTCGAGAGGGCCAGAAAACAGGAGCTAGATTGTTGTAGCCTCAGAGGAATAATCTGAAGACCAGCGAACACAAAAACATTGTCAAAGTGAAAATAAGACTTGCACGAGATGTTCGGTGGTAGAAAACAACTTCTTGGTGTTGTGTCCTCTGCGTTAAGATGGTAACTGATAATCCTATGAAATGATAAGATGTTTTTGTCACACCATCTGCCTAATTCATAAATAGAAACTTGTCAGTGCAACAGCCTGCACGGTGACCCATCTAAGGTCATCTCCATGCTTTCTGGAAGCACTGTTACATAAACAATGAAGAATAGTAAAAGCGTCATGGCTGGTATTTGAGCAGCTCCCCTGGGCTGTCAAGACTTGGCTCCTTGTCATCTGTTCCAATCATTATTTAACAAAACAAACTGCCTTGGTCTTTTTTTACTCTGTTTTGTTGGTGCAGTTGGTATGAATCTAAAATGTAAGGGTGTGTGCGTGCATGTAATCAAGTGGTCCCTGCTTCTGAATTACTATCCCAAAGTACTTTACATCTTTTATATCTTATCATATAATTAGTTACACACAGTTCTTGGATACCGTATTGTTTATTTAAAGCTCGATAACATCCTTCACCTGAATGATCCCAAATGAAATTGTTTTTGTACCAGTAAGTCCCAGTCTCCTCCCAACTGCTCAAGTGGTGTCAGAGCAGGAAAAAAATAAGAGATGGTTGTTGGGCAATGCATCCAAACACATTACTCAAAACTGAGATTCCAGTTACATGGACGTAGGTTTGCACCCACTGGCCTGAGCTTGCGCTGGTCTCCACAGCCACCCACTTTTACGTCATGAAGGGAAGCCAGTGTATTTCCTCCCCTTCTTTATCTAAAGGAAGTGCCAAAATAAGCATCAGCAGCGGAGCGCCCGAGCACCTTTTCCACTGGCCACTCAGTTGGAGTCTGAGGAAGAAGTCGGAGGAGTTTACGCCCGCTGAATCACCATGAAGACCATCAGGCTTCTTGTCCTCGTCCTGTTAGCATCCGTCCATGTCTACACATCAGGTGGGGGAACCATTCAAACTGCTTTTGGTCTGGATATCCCAGAATCAGAGCTGAAGGCCCTTTAAAGTCTTCATCTCTCTTTAACATACATGAATTGTTTCAACCTTGTTTCTGTGCATTGTCTGTGCAGAGAGTATTCAAGCTACCTTTAGTTACTGATGTATGAAACTAATTCTGATTTAATATCTTACAGTGTCAAACATTTCCATAGTTAGAGTTTCCTGTCAAGTTGGTTTGCTGCATTGTGAAAAAATACATTTGAATTTTTGTGTTCGCAGCAGCAGTTGTTCTAATAATGGATAACGAAATACGTTTTACTTGTTCCTATGTAATTTAGTTTTGATTTGGTATGTGCAAAGATAAAGATCACAGTGTTGTTCAAAAGACACTTTGAACGGTACCTTGGAGACACCCACTCAGTGTGCTTCCGTCAATTTAGGCTGAGATAAGCTCCTAAGTTATCCTTTGTAGTAGTTGGGAAAAAAAGATATTATTCAGCCATATTTAGCCAAAGCGATGGTCAAACCTATTTTTATTATGAGCACAAGCTATCAAGCACAAATCGAAACCTAAGGAATGGAAAATGTAGTGACAAATGAGTGTCTCTTGGTTGAAGGAAAGGGAAAAAAAGGGTGGTTCTTGATTTGTTTGTTTTCCTTGTGCCAAGCCAAGAGAACCTTTATCTGTTCTGTGCTGGGCAGATAGGTGATCTAACAGCAGATAGCCAGTGGGAACAGAACTGCCCCCTCTCTCACAGAGACAACAGATCATTGTCCGGAGACTTAAACGTCCCAACTGGCAACAAATCGACTTCCAGCGTTTAGCAGTAAACATCTGGAGGAAACACCCTCGCCCTGGCCACTGCTCACCCTGCAGAGGCATTTTTACTTTAATGAGCTTTATTTTCCTCCACAGCACAGAAAGAGAAGCAACAAGGAGAGACTGAACATACATTTCTCTTGAGCCTGACCTTCCAGCACTGACTTGCACTTGGACTTGCACCAGAGGACTGTAGACATGACTCGAGGCTGTACTCACAGGACTTAAGATTTTAATTGACACTTGTACCGAAATACTTGAGACTTGAGTTGACTTGAACTTGTCTCGAATAACTTGAAGGACTTGTGACTTACTGAAGTTTTGCTTCAGGCCTTCACTATCAAATTACGTCAAGGACTTGAGACTTCACAGGTGACTTGCCCCTAAATACTTGACATAAAGACTTGTCTCAGATTATTTACAGGACTTGTGACTTGACTTGAGACATGCTGCAAAATACTGGAGACTTGACTCTGACTTGTTTCCAATTAATCAGGACTAGTGACACGATTTGGGACTTAGAAATACTTGAAGCTTGACTTGAAGACTTGTCTGTCTGTACAGGACTTGAAAGTTTACTTGGACTTGTTTTCAATTAATTAGGACAAATGCCTTGACTTGTGACTTGCTTAAAAATACTTAAAGCTTGACTTGAAGACCTGAAGACTTGACTTGGACGTGTTTCCAACTAATAGGATTTGTGGCTTGACTTGTAACTCACTCCAAAATAATTGAAGCTTGGCTGGAAGACTTGACTTGGACTTGTTTTCAGTAATTAGGACTAGTGCCTTGACTTGTGACTTGCTCAGAAATACTTAAAGCTTGACTTGAAAATTTTTCTCAAATGATTTATAGGACTTGAGATTTGACTGGAGCTGTTTTAAATGAATTATAGGACTTGTGACTTGACTTGCGACTTGCTCAGAAATACTTAAAGCTTGACTTGAAGACCTGTTGTGGATGGTTTACAGGACCTAAGACTTGACTTAGACTTGTGTCAAACAAATAATAGGATTTGTGGTTTGACTTGTAACTCACTCCAAAATAATTGAAGCTTGGCTTGAAGACTTGTCTCAAATAAATTATAGAACTTGAGACTTGACTTGGACTTGTTTTCAAATACATAGGACTAGTGCCTTGACTTGTGACTTGCTCTGAATACTTAAAGCTTGACTTGAATTTTTTTTTTTTTTTTTTTTTTTTGAATAATTTATAGGACTTGAGATTTTAGTGGACCTGTTTTAAATGAATTATAGGACGTGTGACTTGACTTGTGACTTGTTTCCAATAAATTATAAGAGTTGTGACTTGACTTGTAACTTACTCTGAAATAACTGAAGCTTGGCTTGAAGACTTGTCTCAAATAATTTATAGAACCTGAGACTTGACTTGGACTTGTTTTCAATTAATAAGGACTAGTGCCTTGACCAGTCCGTAACGCCAGGGATCAGCACGCCAGGGTGACTTGATCTGACACACTTGGAACTTGGTTTTGATATAGTACTTGAGGTTTGACTTGGATTTATCTGGAATTAACTTAAGTACTTGCGACTTGACTTGAGTCTTACACCAAAACACGTGAAACCTGACTTGGCCTTGTTTTGAAAGACTTAAAGTACTTGAACTTTATTTGGATATGTTCCAAATAACATAAATAACATTGAGATTTTAGGACTGTAGACTTGACTTGAGATCTGCTCCAAATACTTGGGACTTGACTTGGACTTGTCCCCATAGTCTTGCAGATGAAGCCAGACAGAGCTGCAGGTGGTCAGCGATTCAGCGACTGCTCTGGGAAGAAATATGTTGAATAGGATCGTAACTGACAGCAGTGAAGACAGGATGCTCTGCTGCTCAGGTCAGGGGACAACAATAGTGTGTCTGGGACAGGATGCAGCTTCACACTGCCGCAGCGCTTCAAGCAGAGGATATCCACCTCAACACGCTGCAACTTCCACCACTATCTTGACTTCTCATCCTTAGTCTGACACTTGGAGCGAGGGCACGCCTTTGTCTCAGACGCTGGGCTTTAAAGTCGTGCCAAACAGGAATGATGCAAATATGCAACTGTGAACCTAAAATAGAGAGTCTGTCTGTCTGAGGAAATGTTTTATGTAGACAAACTGATTCTAGTGTTTTCATGATGGATGCATTATGGCTTCCTAGATAGCACATTCGTTTTTAATGTTGCGCTCTGACATCAGACTGTGAGGATGTAAGGCTGCATGGTGGTTAGTGACTGCAGTGACTGATTACTGATTTAATTTGTCACTAAAAAACACAGCTCTCAAATACATGTGTTTCTGCTTTTACAGATGAATCAGTTGAGTCAAGTGACAAAAAGGACCAACAATCCACAGCAGCACCAGCAGGCACAACATTGTCACTGGGTAAGAAGAGCATTAAAGCAATAGTTTTACATTTTGGGGATTTTTTTGTTCTCCAATGGAGTGTAAGAGGAGAAGATCAAAAGCACTCACTTTTATTCGGACAAAGCCAGGCTAGCTGTTTCCTCCTGTTTCCAGTCTTCGTGCTAAGCTAAGCTTAGGTTCTGCTGGTTGCCTGGCAACTGCAATATACAGGGACACAAAAAAATTCCCAAACACCTGAGAGACAGGCTGACATGTTAAATATTAAGGTAACTTACTGGTAGGCATATTTTGTTATTTTGGGACAAAGCCAGGCTAACTGTTTACCACTGTTTCCAGTCTTTGTGCTAAGCTAAGCTAAGGTAACTAGCATCTCACTGTAGCTATATACTTAACAGACAGATACCTACTAGGTGCTTCTCACAGTCAAAATGTGTAAGTTAAATACAGTTTAAGGCCACTGTCAGTAGCCGCTTAGCTTAGCTTAGCTTAGCTTAGCTTAGCTTTGCTGAGCTTAGCTTTAGCTTAACACAAGACTGAAAATGGGGAAACTGCTGGCTTGGCTCAATGTGAAAAAGACAAAATCCTCCTACCATCAACTTTATTGCTCAGCTAACTAGCTTCTTGCTGTAGCATTATATTAAACAGACAGATACCTGGTAGGTGCTTCTCAAAGTCAAAATGTGTAAGTTAAATACAGTTTAAGGCCACTGTCAGTAGCCGCTTAGCTTGGCTTAGCTTAGTTTAGCTTAGCTTAGCTTAACACAAAGAATGGAAAGGGAACTGCCCATTAGTTCGACAGCCCATTGGTTCGACATCCCATTGTTCCGACCATATTAAACTCATTGTTCCGAAGTCCGTTCCGAAATCATCATGATGCCCTGTGGTTAAGGTCTGCTTAGGTTTAGGCACAAAAACCACTTGGTTAGGGTCAGGAAAAGATCATGGTGTGGGTTAAAATGAAAAAGAAAGTGACAAACACATAAGCCGTGAGCCTGCTTCGCCTCAAGCCGGTCGCGGCGCACCATATGCCCGCCGCGAGCCGTTCAGCACCGCGGACAGTTGGACTAATGGGATGTCGAACCAATGGGCTGTCGAACCAATGACATGGACCCGACTGGAAACGAGGAAACTGTTGGCTTGGCTCAATGTGAAAATGACAAAATCCACCTAGCAACAATTTTATTGCTCAGTAATTCATTTTTTTGTCTGTTGTTTAAGTCATACAAAACAAAAAAACAATGTAAAAACAACAGTTTGCAGGGTTTTCGAAGAGCAGTAACTTCAAGGAGTTTCTGCTGGTTGCCAAGTAACTGCAATGTACATGGACACAAAAAGAAAAAAAAAACATGACACGTCAAATTGCTGTTTCGGTGGTTGCGTAAGGACACCTGAGATACAGGCTGACATGTTAAATATTAAGCTACTGGTAGACGTATTTTGTTATCTTGGGACAGGCTAGCTGTTTTCCCTTGTATCCAGTCTTTTGCTAAGCAAAGCTAACTAGCTTCTCGCTGTAATGTTATATTTAACAGACAGATACCTAGTGCTTCTCCCAGTTAAAAATGCTTCTTTGGCAGGACCAAGGAAACTGTAAAAGAAAGAAAGGACATGATGTCAGTCACACCATTCAAATTTTGCATTGGAGCCAGAGTGTGGTGCCGATCCCATTCTTCTCCTGTTATGACGAATAGAGCCATAATCTATTTGGAGACCAATAACAAGGAAAACAAACATACACATTTAGATAAAAAAAATGTCATTCAGTTTTTAATCTGGTGGAAGCATTTTTTTAAGTCAAAGGTCTAACAGCACAGATATGAGAGGTCAACGTGGGACTTGCTGTGCCCGCCCCACTAACTTCAATAGAAGTGGCTCCAAACTCTGGCCCCGATGCAAAATTCAAACGCTGTCACTGACATCATGTCATTTTCTTCGTCAGTAGTTTCCTTGGGTAGGATTGGGTGCTCTTCAACTACTTTGTTGAAATGAAGGGTGAAACTGAAATGGAGCATCAGTGTGCTGGAGACCATACTGTCAGTGGTTTTGCCAACTAAGTGGGCAAGTGTGTAAAAAAAAAAAAAAAAAAAGGATTAATTACTTATGATACTCACTTAAATGCATATTGCGCTGTTGGCGATGCCGTCGCTTCTCTGTCGTTCTGTGCCATTTTTAAAGACAAGCATGCCCAAGAACCAGCAATGCATCAGTACCTTACAGAAGTCAGAACAAACATTAAATTAGATCTTGGTCTACATCCAATATGTGTGAAGTTTCAGCAACTGCATTGGCTCTTTCTCACCTCGAATTTGTTCAGAAACAGATCTTTACTGCTGAGCTAAATTAACGGAAAGTTTAGTAGCATATTTTTCTTGTTTTTAAATCAGGGGACAGGATCAACGTATCATGCGTAAAGGATTGTGGGTGCTTTAAGAGCGCTGAGGACACACACAGGCATTCTTCAAAATTCTTTGAATGAGGGACTCGATCCCTGGTAAAATTTGAAGGACATTGGAACAGTCCTTTGGCGGGATCAGATGATATAGCCGTTGAAATGCTACACCAGATCCTTCGTTGACATTGAGAAGAACCGATAATATGAGAGTGGTATCAATCCTCTCATCTCTCCACCAGAAAGCAAGTCATTTTAACACATAGAAAAACTGAACTGTGGGAACTTTGGTGTGGAGTCTCGTTTTTCATCGTAGATTCCAAACTCTTCCTACCATTATCACTGTAGTAGTGAGAGTCTGCAAATGATCATAACCTGGATTCTGTAGAAACATGACTAGAGTTGGGTTCTGGTTATATATTTCTACAAATCTCAGCCAACCACATCAGTGTGTTTCTTTTTGTATATCACCAGCACCGGCAGCACCAGTAACCCCAACACCAGCACCACGCGCAGGGCCAATAGCAACACCAAAAGTAGCACCAACAGCAGCAGCACCAACAGCAGCAGCACCAACAGCAGCAGCACCAACACACCCAGTTCTACCTCCCACTGCTGCTCCTGATGCCACCAGCAAATCTCCTGACAGTGAGTTTGCATGTAATTTTGGTTGACTGAGGATAAGTAGAATAATGCTCCATACTCAGGGTCTTGTAGACTGAATCGGCCATGATCCTCTTTATTTTCCAGAAAAAATTGAGGCTCCAACACCTACACCAAAGACTGCTTCACCTACAACAGCATCTAATGACCACAAGACTGTGACCGCTACATCTCTTGCCGGGATGGACAATGATAGTTAGACTTTATTTTAATTCATCTTACAATCCTTTAATTGGGTCAGTGATGATCCACAGCTGTATATCACAATTTTAAAAAATATTTTCTGTTGGACTTATGAATGAACAAGCATGTCAAAATGTGCACCATTGGGTCCATGTTAGAGAAATTCATTCATCTAACATCTGTCACGGAATTATGCCGTACATCCTTTTTGGAAGAGATATAATAATCAAAAGTTTCAGTAATACAAAATGTTGCAGATAAGGAGCAGGAGGTAATGTCTAAAATTAAACAAGAATAACATTTTTTTTCTTCTGTCTTAGCTTCGATAAATGACACTCTGAAACCAAGATCTCCTCAAACACATCACTATCCTGACCCAGGAAACTCCTTTGATAGCACGCCAGATGTGTTGACTCCAGGTAAAAAGAAATTTTGAAATTGTACATCACCAGAAATAAGCAAGCTTTTGGACTATAAACTTTTAATTTTCTTTTTTTACGAAACATGATTACAGTGTGTCAAACGTAATAAATGATGTATTTTTCTGGCATGAGACCAAAGCATGAACATTATGATTTTTTAAGCAACTGTTTAAAGAACTGTTTTCAAAGCTGCATTTGAACTATTTTGAATTTTGTTAGGGCCTCATGAGACCATTGAAAAACCAGGTAAAGGTATGTAATGAAACAGCATCACTTTTTGTTTTCATAATTGTGTTAAAATCATCTCAAAAGTTGTTTTTAAACAAATTTAACATAGACTCAAATGAAGGTAGCACTATCTTTATTTTCTGCAGGTGCAACTACTCCTGCACCAGGTACAGTATATCACTGATACATTTTCCTTCTCCTTCTTATTTTTCTGCTTTGTATTTATACATTAAATAAAATATATTGCCAACATACTGACATATGATTCCAAAGCAAACATTGTCTTTAGTTGATGCAATCACATTTGCAAGAAAATGTATATCTTAAAGTGCATCAGAACTTAAAGCTGGTTTCCTTAATGCATTTGTGATTAATAACTCCACAGTACTTCCATCTAGTTGGATGGTAAAACAATAAAACCAGCAGATTTTCTTTGCTGATGTAATATTGACCATCTTGTACTGTTTTTGTGGCTTTATTCATGTAAGAAATTATTCATTTCATTGTGACAGCATCACATCGAACCATGGCACCTCCAGGGATGCCACATGAGGCTGAAAAGAATAAAGACAAGAGTGCTGGTAAGTTACACTGTACAACCACACTGTATATAAATAAGCTGCATGTTTCATACTGTTCAGTATAATGGAGCAGGAAGCTAATCAGCTAATCAAAAATGCATTAATTTAACAGGTTCTCCACCTGGCACTGAGGAAAAAGCACCCCCAAAATCAGGTAATGCACTAAACCAGGGATCCTCAGCCTGCTTTGTTAGGGGGGGACTTTGCAAAATGACAGAAGTTAATAAACAAGCATTTATTATAGTTATATAGTTAGAAATGCTCATTGAACTGCTACATCAGTGGTCTGCCATTTGGGTAGACGTTAAAATTCAGAGACAAATCAGAGTGCACTGATGTTGATGACCGTCTCCTGAATATGTGACCCCCTTAGACAAAAGGCTGTGGTGGATTCTGTTGCCTGTCGTCCTGGTTGGAGCTGCTGTGGCCATTGTCTTCAAATTCAAATGCAAGAAGATCCACGATCACACAGGTACATATGCAGGCAGGCTGTACCACATAGTGTATCTAAATACTGTCAACTGTAGTGGTATATTGTTTGATTTTGAAATGATGAGATATTTTAGACACTGAATGAGATCAGCAGAAATAGAATAAGTCTCTCATCTTCTCTTCAACAGAAACCATTGACACTGGAACCGAGAAGTAAGTTTGAACCTTTTAGTAATGAGCTTTGTTTTAAAGGTGTGTAAACAGCTACAGTATTCATCCCTTTGTCCCTCTAACTCTCCACAGCGCATCTTTCCAGAGCCGACCCGAGAGCACCAAAGATGGCGTCATGCTCCTCGGAGTGAAGTCATCAGGCGGGGAAGAAAATGGTGAGCTGCCCTTGCGTCTATTTCCTGCTAGAGCCGCTTCCAACTTCATTCTGTTTGTGCATTCTTCCATCACTTGGTAAAGCTGTTTCTCCCAGACACAGACTCGCAATGATTGCAGGGAAGTTGCAGGCTTTTAATATCTCATTGTACTGTATGGGCTTTTGGGGCTTTGCTGGGCAACAGAAGGTGTTTCCTGTGATTTTGCCGCCCCCACCCTTGAACAAGCAGCAGGGCTTGAAAGATAGGGACTTCCTAACATAAACACAGATTATTTTGGACAGGAGCTATTGTGCAGTCAGTAAATGTCAATGTGGCCCAGACGCTGTTGGGCGTGTGCATGTTTGTTGGTGGGTTGAATGCATGTGCACATCCACGGGGGTGCGCATGTGTCATACAAGGTTTGTACACAGACTCAGTATCCCTTCACCCCACCCATGAAAAAAAAAAAAAAGCATTGGGCACTAAATGTCCTACCTTCCTTCCCTTAAACAATCAGGCCTCGATGACTTGGCTGCGAGATTCACAGGGAAATGGAGTCATGCTTTAGGAATTCTGCCGAGGAAGAACATGTTTATGTTGTTACAGATGACTGGATTTCTTTGGATTGTAGCTTTATAAATTCTCATCTGACTGCAAAACTTGTTACTCGTATATGCCACACTCCACACAGACAAACTTTATAATCCCACATGCAAAGCTCATCAACAAAAACTACTCTTTTTTTTACTAACTTAATGAACTTGAAAAGTCCAAATCAGCAAGTACTACCATAAAAATGAGTCGTCCTAACCGTCCTAACTTTAATATAATGTAATGATTCATTAAATTTATAGACAGTTTGGCCTCAGGAAAGTTTACAAACAGTTTCAGATAACCTTTTGGTTAGTGATGGAATGTAACTCTGTATGTTTACTCAACAGTTCACCCCTGCTATTTATCAATCTAGATTGCTTTGGTGTGAGTTGCTGAGTGTTGGAGCTATCAGCCGTAGACATGTCTGCCTTCTCTGGAATATAATGGCTGAAGGCACTCAGCTTGTGGTGCTTAAGGCGCACAAAGCGTATGAAAGATTTTCTTTCTACCAAACTACACCCAGCAACCGAATCACTGCGCAGAAGAAAGTGTGCATCTAATGCTAGCATACTTAGCATCACTGAGCTAGCTAATGTTACAGCTCAGCCAAGGAGGATGTTATCAATATTTAGATCTTGCGCTGCCACAAGCCTGAGCCACTCGTCCATGAGTATGCTTCCTTCTGGGCAGTGGTACAGTAAGTGGGTGTGGTTTAGTAGAGGGAAAATAGTTCCCACATGAATCTGCTCACAATAAAGTCTGTGGATTATCTTAAGTAACCAGGTCATGATTCTGGAAAGAGACACTGATGTCGAGTTTTTAAAATGTATGTTTTGGCACTTTAAGCACTACAAGCTGAGTGCCATCTAGTTCCATTATATTGGAGAGAAGGCAGACATCTCTCCGGCTGATATCTCTAACACTCAGTAACTCACACCGAAACAGTCTAGACTGGTAAATAGTGCTACAGGTAAGGGGAAAAATATGTAATTTTGATTTTGGGGTGAACTGTCCCTTTAAGTCCTCCTTAATTTTCATCATATTTCTACAAATTCTTTACTGTATTTTGTGAGAAACCGACTTAAGTGAACATCAGTTAGCTGAAATTCTTCATTTCTTGATTTTGGATTTTGGGGTAAACTGTCCCTTTAAATACAAATGGTAGCCTGCTTGCACTGTACATGAGTCTTTTCTTTTCATGCCACTCTGTACTTCTACTCCACTACATTTATCTGCTAGCTTTAGTTACTTTAGAAATGAAGATTTTTGAACACAAAACATATGACAAGTTCATCAAACACACTATTTTCTTAGAAGAAGAAACAACTCCCAAATTGTTTATACAAGTGCAACTGAAACCATTAGTCAATTAATCAGTTAGTCGACTGGCAGAAAACTAATTAGCAACTGTTTCTGTCAACTCATTTTTCACGTAAAACATTTCAACTTGAAAATGTGCTGCTTTTCCTTTTTATTATTTTTAAATTCATATTGGAGACATTTTTCTTTACTTTTAATGCCTTAACTACATTTTCCTGATTACATACTTTTACTTTAGTATAACATTTTCAATGCAGGCCTTTTATTTGTAACAGTGTTTCTACAGTTGCATTGTTAGTTTTACTTAAGAAAAGGACCAGAGCACTTCCTGCACCACTGGAGAAGGAGGAAACAGCAGGTACCAACTCCTAACCATGGTGACATAACATCCTCCACTGCATGCAGTCAGTGCAGCACTGCCGTCTAGTGTTGCCTTGACAAAAAGGCACACATGATCATCTCAAAACACAATTCAGATCTCCATCTTGATCAGTTTTCAAGTTGTATGAAGGTCTCTTTTTCATCGCACAGATGTGGTTTTATCTTAGCATGGTTTTATCACTTGTCTCTGACTTTATGTGTTTCAGCTGCTGCCAGATAAAAAAGAAGGGCATCGAGATGGGCCAGTGGATGACTCACACCTGCCTCCCACACGCTGATGGTCTGGAGGAACTGTTTAGATGTTTGAGTTTTTTTTTTTTAAATATTTCTCTTGTAAATGTTGTGAAAAATTTGGTGAAGCAGAAAAGTATGTTTGATTATGTATGCCGAGAGCAGTTTTATAAGGCACGGTTTGCGACTGTGATCATAAATCTCAGAGGAAGTGAACTTATTTTCAACCACAACTGACTTAATATAGTAAATCTTTGAATAGATAGCACAGGTGAAATACTGTAAGCAGATTAATAGTTGCCTTTGGAATATATGAAATGAAAACTTAATTTAGCCATCCTTTTATATCAGTTTATTCTCAACCAGGACCAACCTGAGTAGCTCATTTCTGTCTACATGTTAGGCCACAACACATTTCCTGTACAGTGCACTGACCTCAGATCCATCGCATATTTGATGTAATAAATCACTTCATTTCATAGTTTCATAATTATCCATTGAGTGTGATGTCACCCAGCATTTAAGTGCCTTGAATATTTTGTAGATTTTGGTGTTGCTGTTGTTTTTTATTTCTTTTTGTGTGTGTAATTGAAATTTTGAAGATGGTATAAGAACAGAATCTTTTGAGGTGTACTCCATTTTTACCTGTCACATATCTCAGTAAGCATTTCTTAAAGAGAGGTAATGGGGGTTTTAAGATGTTTTTGTCAGTACATATAACATTCAAGCATGAGGAATAGATAAAGCAGATGCAGGAAACTGTATTTAGAGACACTGGATTTTTTTATGGCTGGACTTTGTTGCTCTCAACCTCAATTTCCTCAATAAATCACTGGAAAACGGTTTAAGTTGTGCAGCTTCAGTTTTTTAAATTTCATCTTAAACTTGTTTTTGTTTGTTTTTTGTTTGTCTGGTTTAATACGACATACATTCAGTAGCCACTTTATTAGGTACACCTTGCTAGTAATGGGTGGAACCCCTTTTGCCTTCAGAACTGCCCTCTTAGTGGCACAGATTCAACAAGGTGCTGGAAACATTCCATGATGCAAATCTCCCGTTCCACCACATCCCAAAGGTGCTCTATTGGATTAACCTCTGATGACTGTGGAGGCTATTGGACTACAATGAACTCATTGTCATGTTCAAGAAACCAGTTTGAGTTGATTTGAGCTTTGTGCCATGGTGTGTTATCCTGCTGGAAGTAGCCATCAGAAGATGGGTACACTGTGGTCATAAAGGGATGGACACGGTCAGCAACAATACTCAGGTAGGCTGTGGTGTTTAAACCATGCTCAGTTGGTACTAAGGGGCCCAAAGTGTGCCAAGAAAATATCCCCCACACCATTACACCACCAGCAGCAGCCTGAGCCGTTGATACAAGGCAGGATGGATCCATGCTTTCATGTTGTTTACGCCAAATTCTGACCCTACCATCTGAATGTAGCAGCAGAAATCCAGACTCATCAGACCAGGCAACGTTTTACCAATCTTCTGTAATACAATTTTGGTGAGCCAGTGTGAAATGTAGCCTCAGTTTCCTGTTGTTAGCTGACAGGAGTGGCACCTGGTGTGGTCTTCTGCTGCTGTAGCCCATCTGCTTCAAGGTTGGACATGTTGTTGGTTCAGAGATGGTCTTCTGCAGACCTTGGTTGTAACCAGTGGTTATTTGAGTTACTGTTGCCTTTCTATCATCTTGAGCCAGTCTGGCCATTCTCCTCTGACCATCCTCTGTAAACCCTAGAGATGTTTGTGCCACTTGGTTGGCTGATTAGCTATTTGCATAAATGAGCAGTTGAACAGGTGTACCTAATAAAGTGGCCAGTGAGTGTATGTTGAATGACTTGAAATATCATCGTCTTTATTTACCATTAGTTTTTTATCTCCTGTGGCCTCATTGAATGTAGTGATTCTGACAGACTGAGAAAAATCTCCCATGTTGCCCTTTGTTTTGCTGTCAGTTCAGTGATTCACCACCAGAGGGAGCAGACAGTCAACACAAGACTAGGACAGTAACCGCAGCTCTGCTCCCAGTTCATAAGCTGGTGTTTATTGCAGAGAGGTTTCATGAGTTTGTTGACAGAGGAGTGAGATGTAACCCACCGGTGTAAAAATCACACACTGCTTGATCTTCATAACACACACTCACAGAGAACAGCATACACTCATAACCTCGATCTTTCTAGTTGTTTCTGTGGAGGTAACTCAGTTTGATCGCATGAATTCAAACGACTTTTACCATTTTGCAGCCATGACCTTTATTTTGAATTGATTCATACACAGCAGGGTTATAGGGCCCGGCTCTATCTGTGGCTTGTGTAAACTGAGACTGTGGGCACATTTCCCTCAAAGAGACAGCGAGCAGATTGGCACAAGGCCCATCACAGACAACTATAATGCCAGCTGTGGAAAGATGGGCTGAGTTACATTCCGGATGTCATGCCAGGCCTTTCTCCTTCAGCGTCACTCGACAACTTACTGTGTTAAGTCTCTGTCTTTGGGCCAGATATCTACTCATTCTCATTTACACTTTCAGAGTGGATCTGAGCCTCTGACAGTGAGAAATCAATAGAAATGCTGCCCTTTGAATTCATTTCAACAGAGTGCCTTTTTCTGAATATTGCCTTTGTAAGGCAGCAGTCTCATTGACTGAAAACTACTATGTGCTTCAGGGAACTAATGGAAGTCTTTTCGACATATTAAATCTCTAAATCTGTAATGTTTGCGTTAAGAATTTGGAGAAATTCATGACTTAGTTCAAATTTCCATCAGAAAATGGCATCGTCAAGTTTAGTCATTGTCTTGAATTCATAAGTGACACAATAACAGGACCACATGACGGCTAAAAAATGACATTTTATTGTAGCTACTACATAATCCGTTTGTAAAATGTGTTATTATTACACAGAAAAGTTTTATCAGTATCAACTAAACAAAGTCTTGAGGAAACTTGCTTCTTTACTTAACGCATGTCAGCTGTATGCAAGGCTCTGACATGCACAAGGAGCTCACTTGCACATGCAACCAGTGATCTCCTGTGGGAGAGAAATGCAACTCAGCAAGAAGGCTCCTGTTGTTAAAATTCATGAGCGAGGGCGGAGGGTGCAACCAGAGGCACGTTTCACTGGCATAGCAGGTGTCTGGAAGAGGGATAACACAAGGTTTGTGGATGGATTAGTAACCTGAAACACAACAGGTTTTATCTTTTGCTCCAATAAGGGAAACAGGAGTTGGCACATGGCAGAAATTCAGAGGGAGATTTTGGTTACCGACAGAGAGTGAAGGTCAAAAGCTGAGTTGCTTTACATTACACAGCCTGCTCTCTGCTCTGCTGTATCTAGTGTTCCCATGGCAAAGATTAATTTTACTTCTATTAAATTCAGTGTAATGAATTCCAAATGAGAATCCCAGTCTTTGCCAGTGTGACAGGAGCACAGAGACAGATGGGGCCACACATAAAAAAGCAAAGATAAAATAGAGGCAGAATGTAACGCAGAGGCATGGGAAACATCTGAAGCACTGACAGCAACAAATGGACTGATCTTCCAGAGATCTGACAGTTGCTGTAAACACATGAGCTCTCCTGAGCTTTTAGCTGCACAGTATTACTGTATGCATGAGTTCAGAGATTACAGGGGCTTTCTTTGTGAACTCTGTTTGAGCTCCAAGGAGGGCAAAATGCAGTATGGGACCTCAAACTAATACTGAGCTCTTTACAGTATCCAGAGCAAAGGCAATCTATGATTCAAAGGCTGTCTGCATATGGTTGTCAACATGGAGGGGGCTGAGCTGGTGGCTAGCAGCTAACAGTGCTAGCAGCTGGGGGTGCTAGCAGCATAAAGAGTGCTAAAAACATTTACTAGGGGGGAATCAGACAGCACACTTTCACTCTGACCTTGTCCCATATCAACGTTTGGTCATGGACTTTACACGTCCCCATACGACATGTCAAGTTCTGCCTGTTACATGCATTGTTTTCTTTCAAAATACACTTCCACTTTCACAGGAAATTGACTGTTTCATACAATCTCTTTCAAAATAAACACACTACGTCGGTAAAACACCGCAAATTGACTTTTTTTTCCTTCAACAACAAAAACACTTTATATTACAAGATGTGAACACCACTCTCCCAGGTGAAAGTAAATATTTGTTGGACCCAGTCACCACACCTCCCACCCACCCCACTCAGACTTTTGCCGCCTTAGCTTTTGTTCTTGTCCCGCTGCGCCATTAAACTATAACAACGACCCGCTACATATAACTCTGACTTTAAAGCACAGCTTTTTTCGTCAGCGTCTGACACCAGAAAGTCACTGCCCAAGCGTCGGATTTCGACGACTTTGGAGTAAGACCGGGTTGAATCAGAGGGGGGATGTTTCGCTTCTGCACCGCCGCCATTCTGATATCAGCGGTTACTGCCACATGAATGCATTGCAGAGCAGCCGCGATTAGCTAGCCAGTGGGATACACACACAGGACTCACATGCACAAACATGCATGCTTGCCGGCCGGGCTACCACAACAACTAACAGAGAAGCTCGAATTACAACACACACAGAGGCACCCTGACTCTGCTTAGGACGTCATTACTCTGCCCTATCTTTACATAGCAAATAGTTGTTTGCTGCTATGCTCCGAGTGTTGTTAGAGCTCCTGCTGGGATGGTTGCACGGCAGAAAGGCTTCACAACTGTAATGAAAGTCAATTTTTCTGCTTCACCCTCAAGATAGCATGTTGATCCCAAATTATATTCAGTTGTATGAATGTGCTGCAGTCTGAATTTGATGCTTTATGTATGATTGTATGCATCTGCTGTAGAAACTGCTGTAATCAGTGCCATACTATATATTAGCCCAGTTAACCCACATGCATTATTGCAACTTATGACAGTTATGACTGTAGATAAGGGTTGAAATCTACAGGGACAATTTACTGACGTTGTGTGGACTATAAAAGTTTTTTTCCTCTTCACAGCAAATGTTTAATAAAAGGCTTCGATCTGTACGTGAAGCTCACTCTAAAGATTTTAGGTATTTATCGGAGAAAATAATTAATCTGATAACATTTTCAACTTTACTTGGCTGACCTGCATGGACATTATTTTTAAACATTTAACAAGCATCTTCCTGCTTGTTAAGCTTTTATGATACAGTATAAAATGTAGGCAACTGGCTCTAAATACAGCTTCCTCAGCAACTGTGTTGACCTTATATGTTCAACATAAATTTAGGTCAGAAAGCCTCATTAAAACCGCAGTGATAATGAGAGCTGATGCTGTGCATTTCTGAACTGTGGTCTCAACACCTGGTTGAGAAACGTGCTCTTTCTTGCATACATTGCAGCTGAAGGATGATCAAATAGCCAGTATTGCTATTACTGATTTTTAATTATGTCAAACAGGATGCCTTTAAGGAGACTGGGTGCAGTGCATGACTGTGTCTTCAATGCTTGTGCCTAAACCCTTGATTTCTTGGCAACACCAAATTTCAGGATTTAAAGTGCAGTACAGTTTACATAGAAGGCAACATGCACGCAACTTGCTTTGTCTCTTTGTGGTGAAGAAAATCAATTCCAAAAGCAAAAGTCAATTCCCTTGAGAAAGCTCCTTGTGATCGAAATGTCTACTCTTTTTAAACAAATCAATGCAGAGGTGATAAGCATGTGCAGGAATTGACTTTTTCTTCACGCAGTATATGCCTGCACTCACAAAGGCAGTAACACTAGCTAAAGCATGTGACTTTTTTCTGAGACATATCTAGTTCTCCTCATGTGACCGGAGGAAAGCACTCTCTCCTGCTCTCTCGTCCACTGGATTCCATTACACTTAAGCCAGCAGAGCTGCTGGGGG